TAATGAAGTTGATTGTCATAACAAATATAACTTCGTTTCGCCTACAATCCCACTACAAAATGTGATATGGGAAAATGTCTGGCTTTCCTTGAAGTTTACATCTGCCCTGTGGTCAAAGGCCCATCGTAGCAATGTGGTGTGGTGGTTAGTGTCGAGATTATACGATACACTATCATAGTTATAGTCTAATTGAGGGTTTTGATAAGATCTAGATAAGGCCGACATTGCATACCACTCCTGCATGAATGATAATACCTATGAGGAAATCAATAAAAGCGCAAAGTTTACCTATTTCATTGTTGGAAAATTCTATTAATAGTCCTTCCCCACCTTGAGTGAAATAGAGTGAATACATCCTAGTTAATTATGCTCATTTTCTTTTTATAAATAGGTTTTTGACCAGTAGATTATGTGAGACTTATTCACCCTATTTTTTCTCAGGCGAGGAAGAACTGTTAGTTAAATTTTCTCTCAAAGAAATGACTAGGCCTTATAATTCAATCGCAGTTTATAATTCACCCAAGTCTCATCAGCCCCTCCAGTGTGACTCGAACCCGAGCGAAGCAGTGCATAGTCTCGACATATTAACTAAAATGCCACAATTAGCTTCAAGTCCCAGAGCAGAAGTAAATTTAAGGAATACCAGCTCTTTCCCATATCACTTTCTGTGATGATATCGTCGATCGTCTGTATTTGCTATAAAAATAAACCCTATTAATTATTTCCATTACCCATTTCATCCTTGTTCAAGATCTACTGATAATCTCGAAACCCCACATGTATTCATTTGTAAATACATCCTTGTCTTATCGACGATCCCACTAGAGAAAGCGATATGGGAAAGTCCCGACCTTCCTCGAAATCCACTTTTGCCCTATGGACTAAGGGCACTCGCTGCAGTGTGGCTACATGGTTAACGTATCGAGACTGAGTTGCATTACCCAGGTTCCGGTCTCGTTGGGGGTGCCGATAAAACCTAGACGAAGTCGAAACTGCAGCCCACCTTGGAAGATGATAATTTTTTGGAAGCAAAGCAATGTGAAATTCAGTGAGAGAATTCAACAACCAATCCTTAAACATTTTAAACGAAATATGGTGAGCACATTTCTTATTCAAGATCTTCTCGTATGCGCGAAACTCTAATTAAAAATGAATATAGTTAAAATTTACTCTGTGAAACTAAGGATTGCAAGAAAGAAAATGTTATAGTAGCTTAATCTTTTCTATTAATAATAGCTATGGTAATAACTCTTTTAATCAGACATGTCATAATAAGCATACATCAAGAAGCATAAAGTCCAGAAAATATCATACACAAAAAATTAAACTTTGATAATGAATAGGCTAGTTATCTTTAAGAAATGTGTGAAAAGATAAGAGCTATGTCAGCAGACATGTGAGAAGTTACGTAATGAGCGAATGCAATTAAAGTAGAGGAATAGCATCATCTAATGAAAAATGTAAATATTCTATATAGAACAGCCGAACATGGGAACAACCTCGCAACCACAAGATGCTGATCCTTTCATTAATTGGCCAGTCGAAGAATTGATCAACAAAAGTGCATTGCTCCTATGTCGATGCTGACGACGCCTTTTTTTTAAGGTCCTTGCTAGTCCATGTACAGATCCATATTGACGGCCTCTTTGTCGTACTCCGAGACAGTTGAGTGCGGAAACAGATCCATATCTAGTCAACTTTGACCTCCTTGCAGCATAAGCCGATACATGTTGGTCTCCAAAAGCCGTGGAAGATTTAGCTGAATTGCAGGGTAGGGTAGCACCACGACTGAAACGCAAAGCCCCATTATCGGTTTTGATTATTTTTTTCCCACGGTGAGCTATAGCTGATTTA